ATTATAAACTTCTCATTAAAAATAGAAGTTAGTTTTTGTGCAGTATGTCCATTTCTATTACTAAAATTACCAAGTTGAAAGCCAGCAGGTACTTATGATTTTGATAGAGCTTTGATATACTTGCACTAAATAAGGGTTTAACTTGAAAAAAGACCTTCATGTATGTTGCACATGGAGAGAAAGATGCGAGACAGTTTGAGAGAGCGAGTCTAGCTACACGTCCCTCGATGAGGAGGAAGGAGAAGAAGATGAAGATGAGTAAGTCAAAATTCAGCATGGCAAAATTGGAGTCCATTCACCTGGCGACACGTGTCACCCGGGCCCAAGCCAGCTAAATTTCAAACGTTTTAAAAGCTAGACTCTCTCTCTCTCCACTTCCCCGATGTCTCTCTCTTCACTCTTCCTTCACGCTCTCCTCTCTTGTCACTCTTCCTTCGCCCGTTTTCTCTCCAAGTCTGAAGTTGTGTCCGATAACTAGCCATACTCGGGGGTCATTATCGAGTTCCTACGCTTCATTCTCTCCACTTTTGACATCTCGTTTTGGCCGCAATGCTTCAACAACATGCCATCTCTTCGTTCTTCACCAATTTCTATACTGATCTCATGGAAATTTGGCTATATCTTATTTTAATTTTTTTTAATTTATTTTTTTTACAAACAAAGTGGGAGATTGTTGGTGTTTGTTTGTAAACAAACAAATAAGGCATTTTCCTTGTCCCACGTAGGAAAGAAAGGAAAGTTTTGGCCGCTTTATAAGTTAAAGTGTTATCTACTATTGTAAATGAAAAAAATGAGTGAATGGGCTAGACTCCACAATACCCCCATGCGGTGCGCAATTTTGATGCGCACTTACCACTTTGCCCGCCACGGACCAAAACAAGCCTTAATCAATAATTTATTTATTTATTTATTTATTTTACTTTTGATTGCTCGGACGAAACTTTCCGTTTTTCGGACATGATGGGTTGTGTCCGAATGGTGGTTTTCACAGGCGAAGGGTTATGTAAGAATTGCAATTTTTTGGACATGAAGGATTGTGTTCAAATGACGGTTTTCACGCACGAAAGGTTATGTCCGAATTTGAGAAATCAGTATCGTCTATTACGTTTTAGAGGTTGAATTATATTCTTAATGAAGTATAATACATTAATGTATCACGTTCATTAGTAATAGAAACACGTGCAAGATACTTCATATATATGATCTTAGAAGTTGTACGGCTTCTTACGAAAGTTAGAATGCTTTCTAGAGAGTTGATGAAAAGCTATAAGCACGATCCAGTTCTATTACTAAAATTACCAAGTTTAAAGCCAGCAGGTACTTATGACTTTGATAGAGCTTTGATATACTTGCACTAAATGAGGGTTTAACTCGAAAAAGACCTTCATGTATGTTGCACGTAGAGAGAAAGATGCGAGACAGTTTGAAAGAGCGAGTCCACCGGCTCGTCCCTCAATGAGGAGGAAGGAGAAGAAGATGAAGATGAGTAATTCAAAATCTAGCATGGCAAAATTGGAGTCCATTCACCGGGTGACACGTGTCACCCGGGCCCAAACCAGCTAAATTTCAAACGTTTTAAAAGCTAGACTCTCTCTCTCTCTCCACTTTCCCGATCTCTCTCTCCTCTCTTCCTTCGCGCTCTCCTCTCTCGTCACTCTTCCTTCGCCCGTTTTCTCTCCAAATTCTGAAGTTGTGTCCGATAACCAGCCATACTCGGGGGTCATTATCGAGTTCCTACACTTCATTCCCTTCTCTTTTGACATCTCGTTTTGACCGCAGTGCTTCAACAACATGCCTTCTCTTCGTTCTTCACCAATTTCTATATTGAACTCATGGAAATTTGGTTATATCTTATTTTAAAATTTTTTAAAATTATTTGTTTTACAAACAAAATGGGGGATTGTTGGTGTTTGTTTGTAAACAAACAAATAAGGCATTTTCCTTGTCACGCATAGGAAAGAAATAAAAGTTTTGGTCTCTTTATAAGTAAAAGTGTTATCTATTATTGTAAATGGAAAAAATGGGTGAATGGGCTAGACCCCACGATACCCCCATGCGGGTGCGCAATTTTGATGCGCACTTACCACTTTGCCCGTCGCGGACCAAAATAAGTCTTAATCAATAATTTATTATTTTTTTTTTTTACTTTTGACTGCTCGGACGAAACTGTCCATTTTTCGGACATGATGGGTTGTGCCCGAATGGCGGTTTTCACAGATGAAGGTTATGTATGAATTGCAATTTTTTGGACATGAAGGATTATGTCCAATTGGTGGTTTTCACGCACGAAGGGTTATGTTCGAATTTGAGAAATCAGTATTGTCTGTTACGTTTTAGAGGTTGAATTATATTCTTAATGAAGTGTAGTACGTTAATGTATCACCTTCATTAGTAATAGAAACACGTACTAGGTACTTCGTATATATGAGCTTAGAAGTTGTGCCGCTTCTTACGAAAGTTAGGATGCTTTCTAGAGAGCTAATGAAAAGGTACAAGCACAAGGCCATAACAGTGCTAAGGAAATTATAAACTTCCCGTTAAAACAAGAGGTTAGTATATGTGCAGTATGTCCAGTTCTATTACTAAAATTACCAAGTTTAAAGCCAGGAGGTACTTGTGACTTTGATAGAGCTTTGATATACTTGTACTAAATGAGGGTTTAACTCGAAAGAAGACATTCATGTATGTTGCACGTAGAGAGAAAGATGCAAGACAGTTTGAGAGAGCAAGTCCAGCGGCACGTCTCTCGATAAGGAGGAAGGAGATGAAGATGAAGATGAGTAAGTCAAAATTGGAGTCCATTCACCGGGCGACACGTGTCACCCGGGCCCAAGCCAGCTAAATTTCAAACGTTTTAAAAGGTAGACTCTCTCCCTCTCTGCTTCCCCGATCTCTCTCTCTCTTCACTCTTCCTTCGCGCTCTCCTCTCTCGTTACTCTTCCTTCGCCCGGTTCCTCTCCAAGTCTGAAGTTGTGTCCGATAACCAACCATACTCGGGGGTCATTATCGAGTTCCTGCGCTTCATTCCCTCCTCTTTTAACATCTTGTTTTGGCCGTAGTGCTTCAACAACATGCCATTTCTTCGTTCTTCACCAATTTCTATATTGATCTCATGGAAATTTAGCTATATCTCATTTTAAATTTTTTAATAATTATTTGTTTTACAAACGAAGCGGGGAATTGTTGGTGTTTATTTGTAAACAAACAAATAAGGCATTTTCCTCATTAGATAAGTGGAGCCGAGAACTCTCTCAGTTATCATCGGAACACAATGTGTAGCTTCAATGGAAAATCGAAGCTCTGTGTAGAGATTTCTCTCCGAGACAGTTGCTTAAAAGATTTAGATTGGCCTGTGGAAGTTTAATTTGAAAGTGCCGATCTATTGTACGATGAGAGAATTATTGAGCACCAAGTTTTTCGAAAAGCAATTGAAAAACAATCCTCAATTTGTTTCTTTTAATGAAAATTTTAACAATCTACATATAATTGAAAGAAAGAGTTCTGTACTTATTTCCTTTATACAAAGAAATCTGAAAACATTTTACACTAGTACACAAACTATCGATATTGCACATGGAGTTTTCATGAGAGAGTCAAAAGAAATAGGTTTTATTAATATTTAAGTTACATGAGATCGATTTACCTTATATATATGAAAGATAAGTTAAATATAAGATAAGCATCAGATTAATAATATGGACTAGGATCTAGGCAAGCGCTATGTGTATGTGTAAAATTAAGTGATTAAGTATGACTGCAAAATAATATTAATAATAATAACAATAATAATAGAATGTATTTGTAAATGCATATGAATAGTTGACAACCACAGTAAAACCTCCCCACACTTAACGGTTGAGTCAATATAATTTCATTAGTCTAATAAACGAACCAACAAAAGAAAAAAGATAAGTTTGGCTCTTCCTCTCAAATGTGTGACTTTCCAAATTTCCAAACAAAAGATAGATGAAGGGATAAGAGAGCACAAAAACTTACTTCACGTCCAAACTTTCCCGGAAAATCTAACCCTTCATTTTCCATCGCCATATCTTATCTTTCACATATGACTTAAGAACTAAAAGTGATCATTCCATGAAAGTCAATTTCACACAAAACCTTATACACAGAGAGAACCGATCAACGAGTGCCTAACAAAACCCTAAACCCAGAAAAGCTCAAGAAGACACAAAGGAGGAGATCACGTCACGGAAGCCAGAGTGAGAGAAACCCTAAACTTCTAGGAATCCCTCTCATAAAGCGCGAGGATTAGATTCTCCACTTATTGGTTTTGTGTGAAATTGAATTTCATGGAACTATCGCTTTTTATGTCGTGAGTCATCTCGGCAAAGAACCAAACGAGTGAGGATGAATCTTCTTCTAAAATAAAATATGGCGATGGAAAATCAAGGGATACACTTTCTGGGAAAGTTTGGAGGTGGAGCTAGAGCTAGTCTTTGTGCTCTCTCATCCTTTCTATTATCTTTCATTTGAAATTTGGATCGTCACATATTTGAAAGGAAAAGCCAACTTAGTATTTTTTTTTTTTTGTAAGTGTAATGAAATTCAATTGACTCAAACGTTATATGAGGGAAGGTTTTACAGTTGTTGTTGTTATACATGTGCATATACACAAATACACAAAATAATATTATTAATATGGAAAAAGCCACTAAAAATCTTAAACTATTCCTACCGTGACACATTTACCCCAATTGAAATTTGGATCATCACATATTTAAAAGTTTGCTTTCTTGAGTAGTATAGATAGTATCGGTCTTCAATTCTTTCTTTGGAATAATTTGTTCTAACTCATGTATTTGAGATACAGTATATTTCATAACATTATTATAAAATGTATTTGGAATAATTTCCATAATTAGTACTACTAATTGGGATATTGGAAGAGTCAATTTATATTTTATAAAATGTATTAAGACCAAGTGTCATTATATTAAGTCAATTGAGAATAGAAAAGATTATTGGTTGCACACTATGTAAAATAAGTCGGTTACATCACATCATATTCTTATACAATATACATATATAATATTGGTCAAGGTTGGCAAAACTTATCCTAAAGTTGGTAAGAAAAGGGGGAGCATTAGGTCAAGATTGGTCAAGATTACAACTTAAATGGACATACGAACAAAAACAGTTCTTTACTTGTTTCCTTTTATCAAGAAAACCGAATACACTTTACACAAATTCATCCATAAAACTGTATATCTTGATGCCCTCAGAACTTTTGCGACATGTGGTGTGCCCCATAAGCAACAGTGAAACCCCCAGCCACCATCGTTCCCATACCAGGACTATGCCCTATAAACACGCAGGGAACCAGATCAAGAAACATAGATAGCCGTCATAGAGAAGCTGAATAACCAGAGTAACATCGTTTGCATGTCTATCTGATCTACGTTGATGGACTCATACATGAATGACACTAGCAAGAAGAAAGAAGGTTTTGTGAAACTGACATCACGAGGGTGAACAGGTCCTACCCAACGAAAACACCAGAGAGAGAAAACCAGAGACCGTCAGTGCCTCAGCGAAATCCCTTCAACCTCGGGAGTAAAAACCAATTACAGGAGTAAATTCAGCTTTGCGCAGTAAGATAAAGACGACAGTCACAATACACTTTTTAAGTTCAACAACATCAATAGCTCCCAACTCCAATAAAAAAAAGCGCGGGGCAAAACATGAAACATCAACTACAAGTTTCAGCTAAGATGTTCATAAGACAATTACTAGTCTGACAATCGCAGTTACGATCAATACCTGATTAATATGGACCTGGAGGACAGGGATAAGGACCTGGTGTATGTCCCCCAGGTGGTGGATAAGCTGCAGGTGAAGGAGGATAACCGGCAGGATGGTATACGCCCGGCGGAGGATACCCAGCTGGTAAATACCCCTGCGGAGGACATCCATGTGGAGGATATGACCCGCGTTGCATGCATTGCGCCGCAGTGTACCCAGCAAGGCTCCAGAATCCACCCAGCGGAGGATTCCCAGCTGGTGGATACCCCTGCGGAGGATATCCATGTGGAGGATATGACCAGCGTTGCATGCATTGCCCCGCAGTGTGCCCAACAAGGCTCGAGAATCCACCCCGCGGAGGATTCCCAGTTGGTGGATACCCCTGCGGGGGATATCCTTGTGGAGGATATGACCCGCGTTGCATGCATTGCTCCGCAGTGTACCCAACAAGGCTCGAGAATCCACCCGGCGGAGGATACCCAGCTGGTAGATACCCCTGCGGAGGATATCCATGTGGAGGATATGACCCGCGCTGCATGCATTGCTCCATAGTGTACCCAGCAAGGTTCGAGATTCCACCCGACGGAGGGTACCCAGCTGGTGGATAACCCTGCGGAGGATATCCCTGTGAAGTACATTCATGTGAAGCATATGACCCGTGGTGCATGTATTGCACCGGAGCGTTCCCAGCAACGCTCATGAAAACGCTTTTGTCAGCGGAGTCCACGTCATGTTGATCCATGTTTATTCAATGACAAATGATGCTATAGGATGCCGAGAGAGTGACAAGTACGCCTGCCCAACACAAGCAATATTGAGTCAAGAGTGACACCGCAGTCTGTCAAATAAGCTTGACATTAGACCTGTTTGCTTGACAAGGATTATCTAGTAACTTAGCAAAGGCTTGACCTCTTATTTCAACATAAGGACTACAAATACAAAATTATTTCTTGGGCAACAAAAAGCACAGACTAAATAATAGGGGTGAGCGGTTCCAAGTTCTAGATAAAACCTGTAATGAGTACAAATTTAATACAAGATATCCTTACAAGTTTCACCTGCAATCTATAATCTACCCATTCCCAAGTTCTAGGGTCGGTTCTAGCATCTACTAGGTTTCCTTTTTTATTTTGCTTTTCGGCCCAATGCATTGATGTTATTTCCTAATCGAAAAAAAAAATGTGGTTAGAACTTACGGACAAATACATTTGCATGTGTATATGTGAATAATGGGTATGAATTTAATTTATTCTTGTTTACATTCAATCATCTCATTTGGTAGGTGACTTGCTCTCCTTATGGTTTCTAATACATATTCCGAGTATGGTGATGAATATAATGTCTAATGGCTAATACACATCACCTTAGAAACAATGTCATTGTTGATGACATGATAAATAATGGGTCAAAAGTAAAGCTACATGATCTATATATTGACTCAATTTTCTTCGTAAGAAACACAAATATGTATAATTACTTGTTCTATTTTTGGTAGTAGTAATTCTATAATTTCTTATTTAGGTAACTGAACGACACACGTGTAAAGAAAACTCAAGTTAAATACCTAATATATAAATTTAATTGCTTTTTTCTAAATACTAAATATTTTTTTATTGGTTTATCAATCAAATTCACTTTCGGTTGAACAGAAAGAGGTGGGGAGTTCGAGAACCTTAAAATTAACTTGAGGATTGAGAAAAACAAATCACACAAAGATCATAGAACTATTTTCTTCTTCTTTTTTTAATATTTTTAAAATAAAATTCCCTAATTTTCCTTAGTACATATTCCTCTTCTAAATATAAAACATGGATTATTTTCACCCGACACAGCTGGTGGAGGAAAAATTCAAATACAAGCAACTTTGATCTTGGCACGAGTAACCTTATAAATAGTTATTAAGGATCAAGACTATTCACAGAAATTAATAAGAAAAAAATAAAGAACCACAAATATTTTTTTTTGGTCGAATGGAACCACAATTTAATTTTCAAATAATATGACAAAATTTAGTCAAGAAAAAATCTGATGATATAATACAAAAGAAAAAATAAAATTTTGACCAAAAAAAAAGAAATAAAAGGAAATCTTTCGGACAACATATTGTCGTTATAAAAAGAAATAACATCAAATGCATACCCTAATTTTTTCTCTGTCCAAATTTGTTTCCCGGCTCCGGTTCCTTAAAAAAATGAAACTAGAACCATACCGGAGCGTATTGAAACCTGGAATCGGACCGGCGGAAATCATTTTACAGTTCTCGGTTTTACCCTGCAATCATGCTTATCCTTACTGAATAGAGGAACTCGTTCCTCGTTTAAGATACCATGATATGAATATGCTAGACAAACGAACAAAGATCCTACAACTTACGTGGGAGAATGTCAAAAACTCCCATGGCAGGCAGGGTACTACGAAACGGCAACCTCGCAAATGACTCACATCATACCGATCGGTTGCCAATCAAGTTCTTGGGTGACATACCATCCAGAATGTTGCAAGCGAAGCGAAATCAAACGCGTCCCCATTACTCCCCACCGTCTCACCGCCGCGAAAATGCAACACCCATTTGTCAGAAGCGACATGCAATGGTCGAACCATTCAAATTCAGGACAAAAAGAGAAGGAAAAAACACGACAGAGGAAGACGCAAGTACAATATCAGAAGAGACGAACCATGTCGATATCAATGGCACAGAGAGACAGAGAGATCGTACGTAGTGGTCGGGGAGATGAGAATCGCGCGTTGCTGTTGCTGCTCTGATCGGATGAATAGATCGCGGGAGAAGAGGAGAGAAGAAAACACAAGCCAAGGCAAACACTGAAAAACTGAGATCACCAAAATGATATAAACATAAAATAATTGAAGAATCGATGCGATAGATGATGACTGGGACGTACATATCTGCTTTAAGCGTTAGTTGGACGCGTCCCCATTCCTCCTTTTCCCCGAATTAAATATGGGATTAACGTGTCCAAGGTCTAGAAAACTTTCATAGATATCTAACCATCTTTTTTCTATATATGAATATGAAAACTTGATTCGATATATTTCAAATTATCCCGTATTTATAACTCGTTAATAAAAAAATGATTGAAAAAAAGGCACGGCCCTATAATATATATATGTGCATCAGAAAATTGCTCCCACGGTTTTCATCGTGAGAGCTGACTAAGGTATGAAAAGGTTCATTTCAAAGCAATTTACAAAGTTTGAGGGGCATGTGCGTGGCATGGGCTCCTTCTTTGCTTTTGAGAGATTCTTTGGTACATCATTTTTGCAACAGCTTCAATTACGCAGAAATTCTCTCAAAATTTTAAAATTTTACTAGTACCTTCATGACGCGTAATAATTCACGGCTATTTCAAACGACTGCAACATTTCTGATCTTTTCTCTGAACTCATTGCTATTAACAATCATATTTTGTGAATCTGGCTCATTCCATTAGATCATAAAGAGAGAGAATTTTCCAACTCTCTACTCTATCTCTCATCCGATGGGACGAACCATAGATTCACAAAGCCTGGTCAAATTCTACCTAAGACACTTGGTATTAAGATTTAGCTTACTTACGGTGGTTTATCTTGTAGGTGCCCATCTGTTTTATGAAGAATCAATGCTTGAGGGCCAAGTGTTTTGAAAAGCAGTTACTAATAATAAACAAAATTGAAAAAATTAATATTCTACAATTTAAGTAAAAGAGTAGTTCTTTACTTATTTCCTTCATATCAAGTAGACCTCCTAAATGGGTAGGTCGGGTCGGGTCGGGTCGGGTCGGGTTATAAATGGTCCCGACCCGACCCAACTTGACCCATTTAACCCGTTTATGACCCAATTATCGCAAGGCAAAATCTTGACCCATACCCGACCCGATCCATTTAACTAAATCTAGGAAAGCTTATTTCTGATAATTATTTTGAAAAATTGTATTGCTAAAACATCTTCAAGCAATACAAATCTTTTAAAAAAAATTGAGACTTCGTTTGTTTCGCGGAAAATATAACATTTCTGGAAAATATTTTCAAAAAAATGACAATATTTTCCAATATTTGGCTGAAACCTGGAAATGAACTAGAAAATATTTTTCGACGTTTGGTATGAAAAATCGTATTTTCCTTCATGCATTCATTTTAATATTTTAATATGTTTTATTTTATTTTTAAAAAATCATATTTTCATTATTTTTCTTTTTCTTTTTCTTTTCTTTTTCTTTTTCTTTTTTTTATTTTCCATTTTCTTTTTTTCTTTTCCTTTTTCCTTTTCTATTTTTATTTTTTCTTCTTCCCCCACCAGTGGCCACCAGCGAGGGATGAGCTCGCCAATCTGGCAAGGACAAGGCCCCACTAGCCACTGGCGAGCCTTGAGCCTCGCCAATCTAACGAGGCCGGCGAGCTCAAGTCTCGCTGGATCGATGAGGCTCGAGGCTCGCCAGTGGCAGACGAGGCCTCGGCCTCGCCAGATCGACGAGCTTGAGTCTCGCCAAATCGGCGAGCCTGAGCTTCGCTAGCCTCTAGCGAGCTCGTCCCTCGTCTGTGGCCGGCCGCCGGCCGTCGCCGAGACCGGCCATCGGCAGGGAAAAAAGAAAAAAAGAAAAAGAATATAAAAATCAAAAAATTAAAAAACATTGAAATTTTCACTTAGGCTTATTGGGTAACCCATTTAATACCCATTAAGTTAATAAGTAACCCATTAATGACCCATTTAAGTATATTTTTAAAACTAAACCCAACCCACTTATAACCTACAATCATTAGATATGGACTAATATATGGGTTCTTGACCCGTATACCACCTCTAATATCAAGAGAACCGAAAGCATATTACTTTAGTACATAAACAAACGTTTTATTTGCATCAATGAAAAAGAAAACAAATATCTGTTGAAGAAAGAAAGTAGATAAGTTACATCTGATGTTCTCGTTTTCTTTTTTCACACAATTATGTCGAACTCGAATGTCGACAACCTTATTGTTCATAAGAGATTGCTCAACGGCCAAGTCAACAAGTCAAAAGTAAATATGCCGTCAAATCCTGAGCATCTGCAACGGATTTGAAGCAAAAATGGTGCAGCTGGTCAAGGAAGGAGGATGTGCGAGAGGTTGTGATGATATGGTGATCATCCACGGTGGGAAACCGCCTGTGTAGTGTCGGTGGTGGGTTTTACATTGACGGCAAAAGAGGAATTGCCAAATTTGGAGGGAACACTTGCATTATTATTATTATTATATATATTTACTACTAAATTAAAAAGATATCAATTTAATTTATTGAAAGTTGTATTATGGTCATTTTCTTAAACGTTCGCTTTGTAGGGTAGTATAGTACAATTGTTTCTTTAAAACAACTTATTCGAGATATAGTATATTTCATAATGAACCGCATTGACCAGTTCCATAATTAGTACAACTGATTGATACACAGGAATAGTTATTTTATTTCTTATAAGGGATAACTACACTGAAAGTCCTAAAACGTACAATCAAATGAAGGACTTGATTAGACCAATTTGACAAGTTTTAAAACTTAATTGTACTTTTTGAAAGTTTTAGAAATACATTGCACTTTCTTGATAAGTTTTAAGACTTAATTGTACTTTCGTGACAAATTTTAGGATTTACAATGTACTTATCCCTTTTTATAATATATATTAAGAGCACATGTTGTTTATATATTAGGTCTATTGAGAATGGAAAAGGTTATTGGTTGCACACTAATGCTAGAAAAGTAAGTTGCATCGAAGTATATATTAGTCAAGGATTAAGTCCAAAATTTATACCAGCGACAATTACGTAAGAAAAGGGGCACGTACATCAATTATTTAACTATTAAAAGGTAATAACATGGAACAAACTATACTAAAGCAAATACTCATTATTGCTTGAGGTTAATACGATAAAATCTTCCCTCACTTAATGGTTTTTTTTTTTTTGGACACCCCCTCACTTAATGTTTGAGTCGATAGAATCCTGCCAAACTAATAAAAAACCAAAAAATAAAGATATAAGATGAGTTGATCTTCCACTCAAAGATAAGAGAGCAGAAGAATTATCTCCACGTCCAAACGTTCCAGGAAAATCTACGACTATTATTATGGGAGGAACAACACTAGAAGTGTCAAAACTTGTGTACGGCGCTCATTTTAGTGCCAAAAGTTTCCGCCGGATCACTTAAGTGCCAAACTTTTTGAAAAACGATTATTTAAGTGCCAACTCCGGTCAATTTGACCGGAAATCCAACGTGGCATTTTTTTATTAAATTTTGAAGCCAATGTGGTTCGCCGGAGGTTTAGTCAGCATGTACAGTCAGTATGTACACTTCAAAACGACATAGTTTAGCAAGTACACTTCGATTTTTTAAATTTTTTTCTGATTTTTTTTTCTTTTCTTTATTCTTCTTCTACCTTTGACCGGTGACCGGACACCGGCCACCGACCATGGCCGGCCGCCTGGCCTCGCTCGAACGAGACCGCCGTCGCCCGCGACAGGCGAGGCTCGGCCGACCCTCGCCTAGGCGAGGGCGGGCGAGCCCCGGCAATGACTCCCCTCGCTAGATCCGGCGAGACCGGCCCTCGCCCAGGTCACGGCAGCCTTGCCGGGCGTCGCCTTCCCCCCACCGAAACAAACTCAAGTCAGTCAAATCAACATGGAGGATACGTTTTTGGCTTCCCTTTGGTTGGTATTTTTCACACGGATTGGCCTTCCGATGCTTAAATCAAAAATTGGAGAATGAGAGAAATTGTATGTAATTCATATCAGAGTCGAATGTTCCAAACCTGATTCTCAACTCTTAAACAGCTATTTATAGAGTTTTCTACTTTCAACTGGCGGGTTGGATCTGATAGATGGTCACTTCATTATGGTGGCTGACAAACCATTCGCACGACCGATGGGTTGACCCAAATTGACTCAGGCAACTGAATCGCTAGTTTTTTTCAGTCACCCCATCAAGTTGAAATACGATGACGCTTGTCAAATGCCCAGTAATTTTACAAAACCCGTCATCATCAGTAGGAATCTTAACATTCAGCTTGTTGAGATTGAGATGCATTTCCTGGTGGTACTTCAATTCTTCCAACAACAAAAAATCACTGTTATAGACACACGACTCCTTTAATTCTTGATTGTGAGACGCTGTCGGAACAATATGCTCGGCGGCAGATGAGACCCGCCTTAAAGGAAGCGATCCAAGTCAATGATCACCTGGGCAAAGAAAGGAAGGAGTCATCGGGATTTTGCTGTCAAAATCTGGCACCTGCCGCTTCCTAATATGCAGGCCATTTCGGATGCTGATTTGAGAACTTGATCGGTCAATCAAGGGTTGTAGACTACAGTTAGCTTTTACTTTTATTACAATTTTTTCTTACCCCAAAAAACGAAGTACTTACCTCGCTTTCCAAACATGTCAAACCGCTTGTCCGTGCACGCATGTTCGTGTTTTCAGCTTCAATTGGCAGACGTAGACATATCTCAAAGGATTTTTCGTTAAGTGGGTATCCGAGGATATTTGTTAAATACCTAAATAATGAAAGATTGACATTATTAATACGATGTCTCTTTATGTTATGTGTAACTAGTGTATTGAAAATGACAACCACTCTCTAATAGGTATGATCTCGGCACCACCAGCTAGGTTATATATAGTCGAACGAGTCTACTTTTCAACTCGATTGCATGTGTCACAGGCTGGCAGTTTCTTGGCCACGGAGTAGCTCGTGCGGCGCCTAGTAGGTCATTCACACCAAGCCAGCCCCCGTACTCTAGTTATTCCATAGAATAATACGGCGAATAGCTTCCTAATATTGGATCGCGCCACGCTCAGCTAAACTTGAGCGTCTAGTTC